AGAAGGACCCTCAGCAATTGCTGGTTAAAGGTCTTCTGACTCGGATTTATTGGAAGGTTGCTGTTGGCAAGTTGCCTGTGGGGCAAAGAGACTGCCAGAAGGGGTCCAATAAGATGGATCGAAACTTGGTTATTAGCATGTCATCTGAGGGTGCAAGCGAACAGGACGAGAACCTGGCACTGGAGGACGATGCTGATCAGTCAATAGGTGATGGTGCGATGGTGGTTATGGTGTATGATCCAGGAACGCTGATTCAGTCGCCAACAACTGATTGGGTTATGCGTCGCGGTCTGACCGATCGTACCATCTGGCCAGCAATAGCGGCTACGGCACAGAGGATATGTGCTGAAATGGTTCAAGTGGATGAAATGAATGCCCAGCTAGGGACTGGAGCACTCCTTTTTCAAAGGAGAGATCAAGGATATTATGGTGATATGCATCATTCGTTCCATGACAATCCGTGCTTGCCGGCGGTGGGAAATTATCCTCTTTCGGTGATGGGTGCATTGCTATCGCCTGGTCTGGAAGGGGAATTCAAAAATACTGATAAGTTTGGAGCTGCTATGGAGGCAATTGCCTATGATTGGAGTCGCAGTCCAGGCATGGAAGTTCACATTGAACTTATGGCGAGGGTAGCCAAATTGGTTCATCCTTTCCTTACCCTAGGAGCTCAAGGGTCAGTGATGTTCTTGGAGTTTCTCTGGCAGCGCGGGAGGGCCCAGTTGATGGAGTTCCTTCAGGCGGCGACTTGCGCTGATCAATTGGAGGTTCTCTGGAGAAGGATGGACGACGATGCTGATGAAGAAGTGGATCCTTCGACAGCGGTGCTGGAAGTTCTTGGACCGGAGGATGCGGTACTTGATCAAGGGAACAATGAATCCCTTATTCCCATTGAAGATGCTGGAGGTGAGACAATTGGTGACACTGGAAGGGATGGCAAAGCGCCAGAAGTTTCTCCGGAAGAGGAGACATCCAGTGGGTCATCAAGACTGGCTGACACAAGGATTTTCTTGTGGTCAGTGTACTCCCGCGTTGCTTCCAATTTCTCTACGCAGGACCGCACTACTGGTAAGATCTTTGACAGCACAAAAGGGTATCCTGGTGAAGGACCAAACAATGGTGACAATCCTTCCTCTAAGAGGAACTTACCCTGGATCTCGGAAGACTACCTCGACGAAGTGGTGTCAAAAAAGATGGAAAGGTCTTCAGATATGGATGGGTTGGATGGGTTTGTTCCGGGAAGTGAGGGACCGTTGGAAAAGGTAGAGGTGGAGAATGTTACTGCCTCTAAAATTCTTATGGCTCTTTGGAAGAAGGGATATAGAGCTGGGTATAGGAGGTTGTGTCGTTTGAACGCATCTGGATGCAAGGTTGGAGCAATGAAACGTCCAATCAAAAGGGTGCAGAAGATCGGCGCTAGAAAGGCCTTCCTGAAAATGTTCAATGTTTTTGGATCGTCTCAGCATGGCTCAGGAGCTGGCGGAAAACCAATCATGAAGGTGGTAGGACCAAGGCCAGGTTTTCCAGCTGTACTCCAAGCATCAAATACTGATAGCACTTTGGGTGAAGGGAGCAGTTTCCAGGTACATGGCAATGTTCATGTAGAGCAGAATCGCCCTATGGACCGGTACGAGGCAGAGCGCTTGGAGAAGAGGAAGAAAGGCTTCTGCTATTGGTTCAGCAAGGGGAAAGATCGCTGCAAATTTGGTGAAGACTGCAAATTCATCCATTCAGAAGATGATGTGGTGCTACATTCGTATTGGTGCAAATACTATGTGGCGGGGAGACCCTGCTTCGCTGGAAAGGAGTGTGAGTTCTCGCATGATGCAACTGGTGTGAGGTGCATCCAGTTTGCTCGGTCTGGGAAGTGTCGTTATGGTGACAGGTGTGTTTTCGAGCATGGTGTTCCGCTGGATGAACAGAGGCCAAGGTCTCCAAGGACGCCCCCAAGGGATGGTCCAAGGAGAAGTTCTGGTGCAAAAGGTGGAGAAAAGGAGATCTCTCCTGAACAGTTCGATGATGGTGAGGAGGATTTTATGGTTTATGACGATGATACCAAAATGACGGAACTGTTGATGGAGGCGATTTCATTTCTGTCCGATGGCAAGTCAGATTTGGCTCGAGCAGAGGCGGACCCACTGTTCAAACTCCTGAAGTTCAATGGAGATGCTGACCAGATGGATAGAGAATGGGTTTCGTGGACCACTAGTATGCTGTCCGTGCTGGAACTTCACGAAGTAGTGAAGTCGTATGATGTTTCGCTCGCGGAGGTGGAAGAATGGGTCAATGACCTGAGGATATGGTACGAGCGAGCCAATTTGGGAGAAGAGACAGATTCCAAAAGGGGCAAAAAGAGGTCCCTAGAAAGGGAGTCCAGCAAGGATATTCCTGCAGAAAAAGAAGTGGTTGAAACTTCGGAGACGGAGGTTGCCGTTGAGGAGGAGATGAAAAAGGTCAAAAAGAAGAGGAAAGCTGCAGCTATCGAAGATCCTTACACTCTCATGGTTCCAAAGCCGAAGAAGATGCCGGCGATCATTGAGAAGGGTGGATCATCATCCAATGTGGTGGTTTCTGCAGTTGAAAAAGCTTCGAAAATGCGCACAAAGTCAAATGTCGGTGGAAAGACGAAGAAGAAGGAGAAAAGTCAGAGTCCCAAAAAGGAAGAGGTGGTAATGGTGCAAGGTCCTGAGGAAAAGGATCGTCCATCTGATGTGGATGCACCAGCGTCTACCACTGTGAATGCAGAGCTGGGTCAATCTTGCCAAGCGATTGAGGACGCAAAGAGAGAAGGATTGGTATCCTCAATTCAAAGGTGCGTGCAGGATCCTGTTCTTACAGTTTCGGACCTGGAGTATATTCTGCTGCAACTTCACCTCAGAATTGCCAACAATCGGAAAAAGAAGTGATTGGATGGTATGGATGAAGGGATGGTTTTTCTCTTTCTGGAGACAGGTGCGCTGGAACAGCCAATGTGCTGACAATGTGGTGGTTACTATTAAGGGTATGGAAATCCCTGATAGTAGAAGTCAGTAGTTTTTCGCGTAGCGAAGACCACGGTTTGTGGTGAAGAAGGCCGAAAAGTCTTCAATGACAAGAGGATCATGGTGGAAAAAGATTCTCTGTGGTTAGTGGGTTAGCCAATGAGCTATAATTTCGTCCTGGATGACGTAAAACCATATTGTGCATTTCAAGCAGCTGGCTGCTGCCTTAATGGCAGTTTTTGGCCAAAAGATCTGCACCTCCAATGTGTCCTAGGAAATCCTAGGACAGGGGGAGTGCGGAGCTGCAACTGGTATTGTAGAAAGGAGTTAGTGTTGGGGGTTGGAAGGGTCAATGAACCCGGAAATCTTGTATGGCTCAAGATGGCCACGAGCCGTCAGCTTTTGTTGAAAAAGTACGTACGCCTGGGGTTGGGTTTAACGGGTTGGAGTAGTCCCGTCCCTTCTCCCTTATCCTGTCCCCTTAGGGGTGGGTGTTCTTGTTTCTGGTTCGATCTGGGAAATCCATATAGGCGACTGTTGAGGGTTGGTTTCTTTCCCTGTTCCCTTTCGGTTGCCCCCGTATAGGGTTTAGGGTTTAGGGTTTAGGGTTTAGGGTTTAGGGTTTAGGGTTTAGGGTTTAGGGTTTACTTAAGAACCTTGTAGAAGGCGCAAGCCTTGAAGGGGTTCAGGTGGTCGAAGGCTTTAAGGTTTAGCTTAAACCTAGTGCTTGACTCTCAACCCTAAACCCTAAACCCTAAACCCTAAACCCTAAACAAACCCTAAACCTGAACCCTAAACCCTGAACCCCCCTGAACCCAAAACCCTGAACCCTAAACCCAAAACCCAAAACCCTGAACCCTAAACCCTAAACCCTAAACCCTAAACCCCAAACCCTAAGGTGGCGGTATTTTTTCCGTAGTTTTTTTTTCCGTTTTTTTTGTAGTTTTTTTCCGGCCGTCTGGCCCAGCAAGCAAGCAAGCAAGTAAGCAAGCGAGCCAGCAAGCAAGCAAGGAAACCAAGCAACGGTACCAACAAGCAAGCAATCAAGCAAGCAAGCAAACAAGCAAGCAAGCAAGCAAGCGAGCAAGCGGGCCAGCAAGCAAGCAAGCAAGCAAGCAAGCAAACAAGCCAGCCCCCCCCGCTTGGGCTGCGCCCCCCCCCCCCC